TCGAAGCTCAGACTCTGGCACAGGATCGCGAACGTTGGAAGCACTGTCTGACGCGTCTGCCTCGGCGACCCGAAAGGAGAAGCGGCGATGGAAGATGAAGATGAAGCTCAACTTAGGTTTAAATCTGAAATATTTCTACGAAATTTTCAGTTATATTTCTGATAACAGACACTTAATTTACTGCTTGAGTAGGATTAGCATTGATGTTTTCGGTCACGCGCACAAATTTTTAGTCCTACCGGAGAAGTTGGTGCTGTTGCGGGACTGCGGCGAGTCAAAGAGGCGGCCAAGGTAGCCCTAGCCGTTCTCCAGTACAGCAAGCATACACTGCTAGTTGGTGAGGCTGGTCAGTTAGTAGCTGCTTGTTGTGTTTGGTGTTAATATAACACGTTTCTGTTGTAGCAACTCGATTTGCCATTGAGATGGGGTTCGTCGCGACCGATCTGCAAACAAACGCTTCCCTGAAAATGTGGCGCGACTGGCAACATCGCAGCTGTCAGCCAAATTTCCGAAAAGTAGGCCATGATTATTTCACTTCTTCAGGCTTTTCCTGGCTGAAATTTTATTACGCTTTTACATGCACAGCTTGCAGTTCGCCTTCAGAGGTTCTCTGTTCCCTGTCTTTTGTGGTGACAAACATTTAACCGGAAACGCGCTCGCCAGTGATATTCAAGAGGGTTGCAAAACTCTAAAACTATAAAACAGTTGAGCAGCCTTAGTAAAACCAAAAACTCGTAGAGAAGTGTCAAACATGTCTGCTCTGCCGGTTGGGCCGGCAGTTGGTTTAGTGTATTTGGACGATCACTACTCTGTTGCGACAACTAAACTACGGACATGTGAATCCTGTTTTCTGTCTTTGCTGTTATACGAAACTGACTCCTTGACACTAGAGGAAACAGTATCTTCTGCGACACGAGAGCCAAATTTGAAATATCGCACGACGGTTTGAAATGATCTAGGTGATGTGGAAACCGAGTGGTAGCTGTTTAAGAGCGGCTAACTTGAGGCTGCCGCCAAATATTGCGGTTTAAAACGGGCTGACCAGCCGCCTTGAGATCAGAAAACAAGTTGCTGGTGGGCATGGGAACTTCGAAAGGTTTAACTGGATATCACCGAGAAGAAAGCCGCATTCAAGAGATGGCTTGGAATCAAAGAGCCTTCAACTCGTATGCGGTAAGAAGCACGCAACGCGGTATCTAAAGCAGTGGCCAAGGCGAAAGCTCATTCCTAGGAAAAGCATGATGAGGCAGTTTAGTCGAATTTACGGACGGTAAACAAGATGTTCTGGTAGACCATCCGCTACGTCCGCGATTGAAAGAAGAACACCTTTTAAGATTTCTAAAGAACAAGTCTGGACGCCCTATTACCGATGATGCGGACATACGGCGATGGAGAGCATTCTTTGAGGAACTCCTTTATTCCGAGTAACCGCAGGAAAACTCGACTGTAAACCAGCAGGGAACGGGCATTACTATTTCTGTAGATGAAATCATACAAACTTTCAAAAGCTTGAAAGCTGGAAAGGCTGCTAGAATTGATGAAATCCGCCCTGAAATGCTCAAAGCAATAGGCGAACAAGGCATGTGCTGGCTTACACTTGTCTGCCAAACTGCAGTGGCTACAGGAAAGACAGCAGCGTACTGGTGAACAGAGGTTGTAGTATCCCTGTTGAAAAAGGAAGACCCCAGGGAGTGCTCCAATGATCGGGAAATTACCTTATTGAGCCTCACCGGTAAAGTCTACGCAATAGTGCTAGAAAAAAGGTGCCGCAGAATAACTGACTCCAAAACAGAAGAGCAGTGTGGCTT